ATTAAATTTTTATTATAACCACATAGTAATTTTGCTAAAATGAGGACAACTAAATTGTATGGGATGGATATATAACGATTCGGGAATTACGGTTAACTTTATTAACCAATCCTGCCAGCACATCACCAGAACATCTAGACAAGCGATAATTAAATGTAGTTATCTCTGATATTTTGCTAACTTCCAGTCAGATAAAAACCATAGTTTTATGGAGCTTTAAAATTTTTATAATTATGGAATATACTTATCATAATAAGTTGTTGTCAAGGTCGTGTTAACCTAAAAACAAAAAAGGCCTTTCAAAGTGAGTGGCAACAAGCATTTATTTGAGATCAATAAGAATCGCTATTCAAGAAGCACTGATTCAGGCAGAAAGCCAAATGTTCTGATTAAGAGACAAAGGTGAGCGGTGTTTACTAGAAGGGGGGCGGACAGTTACATCAGAAGAAGGGAGGCATCTCTATCAGTGCAGATAACGTGAAATAGGGATGTTAATTCTAAACAATGTTTAATTTTCAGGCCCGTAGGTTGTCCTCAGTCCATTAGTCACAATATCTACTTTCTTGTTATCTTTGCAAATAGTTCATGGGGGACACAAAGTTGCTTTAGGCCCTGGTCCATTTCAACATTCCAAAGATTTGAGGGACGAGCAGTACAAGGCAGTTCCTCTGGCATGGCAGCTCTGGCTCCATTTTAAAACGGCTCCATTTATATTATTTTGACAGTAGGAGGAAAGAGCACATTTTATTTATCAGTTTGTTAACTTAGTTTGTTGCTTTTAAATACTTGATTTAGATAGAAGCCATGAATTGTCACTTGGGATCCAGGAAGGTTGTGGGGAGGCCTGTCACCAGCCTCCCAGGTAGGCGGGGGACAGCGCTCTGAGCAGTGAGGCCTTGCCTTTCTTCTCCAAGAAGCAAGGTGACCCAGGGAGGGCAAGGCAGGCCTGGTCGTAGGGAGATGGCACGGCCATTCAAAGAAGGGTGCAAGGGAAGGAGTTTGAGATGTGACGGCAGGACATCTGGGCACAACAATTCACCAGCTACATGAATAGTCAAGGCCTCGAGGATGAAGATGACTGAGTAGAGGCCTGGAGAAAACACAGAGACTGACCCAGAAGGGCGCTTCCCCACTCCTGGCATCTACAGACCAGTTCCTGTCAGCTCTGCCACCCACTGGCCCGGTGGCTGTGCAGTTATTCCATGCCTCTGAGCCTCGGCACCTGAGCTGGTATTCCCTTGTTGAGGAAAGCCCTCCCTCCCTGGTGTGCTGATTACAAAGCCGGCCCCCAATTCTCCACTCTCTCTGCAACCGCGTCCTTTGCAGGTGCTCGGTCGGTCTGGGGAGCAGTCTAGGCGCTACCTGGAGTCCGGCCGGGGGCTGCCTTTGGCCAGGGTACCGCGGGGAGGCGACAGTGTAAGGGGGCTGCAGCTCTGCTTGGCCTTCTCCCTCCTGGAAACCCGTAGCCGGCCAGCACCCGGCCTGCGGGCGGCAGAGCACGAGTCCATCGAGGCCCAGGTTGAGCCCAGCCAGCAGAGCGCCCGCCGGGCGGTAACTACCGCGCCTCCTAGCTCAGGCTGCGGAGCTTCTGGCTGCGCGGCCCCTGCTCTCGCACTTCCCTACGCTCTCCAGCAGGGTGCTGGGAGCACCTCGGCTGGGTTAAGGCGGTTGCGGGTACCGCCCCAGGAGCGGCCCCCATGATGCAGCACAGCCCCGGACTCCACTTCCCAGCACCGCCCGGGCGCCACGCGACGATCCACGTCCCAGAATGCCGTG